AGCTCGGTGCCATCCTTAGCTCTCCATCCCCACAGCTCGGTGCCATCCTTAGCTCCCCATCCCCACCGCTCTGTGCCATCCTTAGCTCCCATCCCCACGCGGGTGGCTGCAGGTTCCCAGCGAGGGGCCGATGCTCTGCGAAGGTCTGTGAGCCGGCACCACACCTGCGCAAGGGAGCCTGACAGCAAGTGAGTAGCACCGCGTGTGGTTTGAGCAGTTGTGTCGGCAAACACCACCCCAGGCAAACTGAGTCGCAGTCCCATTCTGTGGCTCTCTGGCAGTACAAGCCTTTACCTACGCTATTAGACAAATGATTCCACTGGCTTACTGCAACGATCAACAGAGCTGTCCAGATCGCCGAGGCTGAGCAAATCTAGTTTCAATGTGAATCCGGGCAGAAGTAGAGCACTTTGCAAGCACCACTACGTTAGTGTGGGCCTTCAGCTGACGCTTCCACTTAAGCTTGACTGAGCTTACAGCAAATCCCTGCTGCATCCGAAGCAAGCTCTTTTTAAGTTCATCATCTAGAAGCGTCACTTCTACGCTACATGCTGCCCTCTCCCCCTCCTTTTCCCTGGTCGAGAAAGCAAAGAAGTCACTGCAACCCAAGCACCCACTGCATCTCCACCCCTCAGCATTCCTGGTGTGGGGCCAACCCCAGGCAGCTCCTTCCCAAAGCTGTGAGTGGCCCTGGATGTGTTTAGGAAGGCAAAGGGAGCCCTGGGAGGAGGGAGGGTTTTGGGCGCACACCCCTCTTCACAGCCATGCCTCTCCACTATGCGTGAGGCAACTAATAAATGGGTACTCTGGTACTCAAGTTGCAATAATTGAATTCTGATTTAGCCCGTAAAAGCAACAGACAAACAGGAGCAAATCCTACAGAAATCCTCAGGGCGACGGTTGAAGAAAAGGCTCATCAATGTGATATATTTTACACGTTAGGAGATTATGCTTACCTCACAGAAAAATATTGATTTTAAATACACTTTTTGTTCATATTTAACATTTCTTAATGCAACTACAGTTAAAAGAAGCATAGATACACCTGCCTCTAAATGCTGAAAAACACGAATTTTTGAGTTTTCAAGAAAACAAAGCTAAACCTTTTTTATAAAACCATCATTTATTTATACAAAGCAACTTTCACTCCAGGTAGAAACATTTTTCTGCAATTCGCACTGTAAACATGAAAAATGTGATAACTGTTTAAAGAAAATCATGTCTCCGCTACTTTTCAATGTGCAACTTGCTTTTAGCGAGGCTGATAAAATTACTAGCAACTTGGCTTTCCTCCCATAAGCATTTACAGAATTGGTAAGAAGCCCCTCAGCAACATAAATTTATTTCTGACCCCAAAGGTCTGTGCTCTGATGCTGTGAACAGATTGGTGGACCAAGAAAAGGGGAGCTAAAATTAACATTTTAAATTGCAGCTATAATTCAAATATGTCATTTTAAACCAAGGCCAATTAAAAGCTTGAGAGAAAAACATGTAAGACCGCAGTGTGTAACAACAACCTAGAATGAAATATGTGTTGCCAAACAAAAGAGCAAGCAGTTCCAGTTTCACAGTTTAAACAGACTGGTTTTAATACTGACCAACAGGTGTGTCCTCCGAAAGGCTGAGAAGTGCCATGTTCCCATTTGAGCTTCTGGCTCCATTGTCAAAGAAATAGGGGGCATAATTTGCCTGAACTGCAATTAAAACAAAACAGAAGCCAAAGAAAAGCATTTTGTAGCTGGCAGTTATTTGGCTTTGTTACCTGACTCAGTAAACATGAGCTGTTTTGGGAATACTGAGTGCATAACGTACCCAGTTGCTGCAACAGACTTTCAGAACTATATCTGTACAGATATTTTTAAGAAAATTACTTCTGCATGCCACTGTGTCAGTTTTCACACAGCAGTAAAATAGTGAAAGAGAGTATATGGAAAAAAATCCAAATTAAAAAAAAACAAAATAAGTAGCAGGATCTCACCGAAAATATCCTCACTAAGTTCCAAACAGCTTCATCACAAAATTAACCTTCTCAGCTTGCAATGACTGTACATCTCTCCCCTACACTATGCATGCAAGTCTGAAACTTTCCCAGTGCTTCAGTATGTTACCCAGTATTCTAAGCACATTCTGTCCTAAAATTATGTCTACTGCATGACCAATTAGCCAAAATTAAATCGTTACTTACTTGCTGCCAGACAACAGCAAAGTTAAAAAAAAAACAAAACAAAACAAGAAACAACAAATTAGTTGTTATTCCACTGACTGACTGTTAGAGATTCAAAATAGCCCATTTGAAACAAAACTCCAAATATATAAACACAGAGGGTAACATTTGCACAGGGATCAGTTGCCAAGGAAAATATTCAGGACAATATTACCACATCAGTAAAGACTACTAAAAGATTTACTATTATGCTTGTATCCTCCTGTATTTTTACTTAACAAAGTGATTATTGTACTCACCCAGGCAAATGTGCACCAAACTGAGAAATAAGGAGGGGGTGAAATGCCTTACATGCTTCATCCCACTGAAGAAAGGGCCAATTTCTGCTCCGTTTCAGAGGTTTGGGTATTTTTGTAGGTTTATTTCGTTTTTCCTCTTTGAAAGGTCCAGGAAAGTGTCCTTTAGACTGATGCAGTGGAGAAATGTGCAAGAGGCAGCAGCAGATGCTAAGATGTTAAGCGGATGACACGTCTTAATTTCTGAGGAATTTAAAGAAGCTCCTTCCTACCACCTAATTAGACCAATTACTTTGCAGGGAGCTGTGGGACTCATTTCTGAGACAGGATCTGGAGGAATCAGTGTAACTCTTTTTGGTTCTGCTGCTAGTACCGTATTTGTGCTGTCCAAACACCCAAGTCAGAGGGAAGGTAAAGTAGAAAGTTGTCTTCTTTCTGAATTCTGCCTTTAATTCTCTAAGCCAGTCCATTTTTGAGAGCTAAAAGAGGTTGCTCTTTATTTTAGCTTTAGCAATCTTGGGAAACTACACAGGAAGAAAATCTGTTGGCAACAAACGGTAAACATGATTGTTACTGTCTTAAAGAAAACAACTGTGTTTATGATAGCAAAAAATACATAAAATTGCATACTAAAAACGCAGAAGTTAAAATGTTCTTTTTGTGAGCTGGCTTGATCACTTAATTCTTAAATTCATGAATTTCTGAAAGCATCCTTTACAATCAGCAGGTAGTTTTTAACCAATATACCCAAAAGTCTGTTTAACCATCAGCACAAGGAACATCGTTAACAAAGTAGCTTTTTTTCATTGCTTGTTTTGGTTTTCTGCACATATAAGGTATTTGCAGGAGTTTAAAGTATAGATATCCTCCAATAAATTATAGGGCTAAAAACCACGCAGCCACTCTGGGAAGTTGTTCACAGATAAAGCTTTTGGCTGCTCAGAAGAAGCTTCATCAGTAATAATACTTATCTTCCAATAAAGGAGGTGTTTACATAGTGGCTTAGCTGGTTAAACTCAACCTGTTTTTTAATTAACACTCTGGGTGAAATAAATGTCTAAGAAATTAATCAATGCAAAGAATTCACCTGTACGACACTTTAAGGAAGACACACTTTTATCCTGGCAGAGACCCCTGGGTCTGACGGGAGCTGATGGGGTGCAGAGAGATGGGTGCAGCGCTGGTGGCCGTCCCCGCACGCAGGGCTCCACCGCAGAGCTACTCCTGCCTCCGCGTGTCCCTCCTGCAGAATGGGCTGGTGGTTAGATGCTGCTGTGTATTTATAGCACACCTGTGAGGTTTGAACCCGAGGGGTTAAGGATGCAGGTGTCTGCTTATCTCTTGGTGCTGACGAGGCAAGGAGGGAGTCTTGTGGTTCCAGGGCTACCCAATGGGCAGCGGGCACAGGCAGATAAATTACTTGAAAACAGAATTGTGATGGCCACGGTGACCAGAATGAGACCTTTTGCTTCATTATCGCTAATGTGTATATTAAAGTTAACACTCCTGCCTACGTTAATGAGCTTAATAAAGTACGTGCTACAGATATATGACTATAGTACTCGACTCTCCACCTGAATCATGTTAAATGTCACCCCAGGGAGATAAATAAGGTTAGAACAGAAAGAGAGAACACATCTCTGAGGGGATAGAAGACCCAGAAGAGGCATTCTGCAGGCTGTGCTCCTTCTCCTTCACCCATGACAGCAAAGCCTTCTTGGTAAGAATCACGCTTTCACGTTTTAGTGAGAAATACCCAGGACAGTATTTTGCTAGCCTTATTATATATTAGCCCTATTGCAGTGAGTGTATTTATTGGCAATCCCAAATCTGTTATATCTGTCACTTTAATAAATTAACTACTCCTTACTACCTTGCAGATTGTCTCTGTGTAAATCCTTAAAGGGGTTCTGAAACAGGCAAGCATTAGCTCTCGTAAGAGGCTGTATAAATCAGTGGGAGAGCCTCCCTCAGCCACACACCCTTTAACACGACATATACCTCACCCACCCATTGCTGAAACTGCAGGATTTAGCAATGAAGGAGGAGACCTTGGGAGAGAAGTCTTTGTGGCAGACACAGTGCTGTGACGTTCCTGTGCTGCAGACAGGACACTTCTGTACCTTCAGATTCCCCTGGAGCTTCGGTGCTGCCGGGAGGACACCTCTGTCTGAAGAACAAACCAGCTCTAAGGCTCCCAGAAGGGTAGAAGTAAAATTGTTGTGCACAATATCAACAAAACTCGCCGTCTGTCATAGACCTTGCCAGAGAATGGTAGGAAGCCTAAAAAGGCTCCAAAATGGATTAGACAAATTAATGAAGGGGTTTTTTGGTGACCAGCAAATGTGATGATACAGATGCAAAGTGGCTCAATAAGGCCCTGAATTAACACCTGCCAGAAGTTTGAAAGTTAAACCAGGGGGATGCTTTTTGTCATCTTGATCATTTTCTAACCATCTCCTACAAGACCAGATGTTTGGTGTGAGTCTGCATGACCATTCTAGTAGAGTAGTGTCAAACCAATGTGTGACTTCAGCAGTGGCCTGTGAAGCTCAGGGGAACGTGCAGCAGCCAACTAAGAGAAAGAAACGTATTTTCAGTGCATTTAAATTTGTGACATGGGGATAAGATGCTGCAAATTGTGCAGGAGGGGATGTATCTATGGAAGACAGATAGAGGTAATCCCTGTTACAGATTTAACCATGCCACCACTGTCAACAGCAATATTAAACCACCGATAAAATCACAGAAATGCACATGCATGATGCCCAAAACATAACATAAATAGTGTCTAAAGGTCCTCACCTGCCTCCTTAATCCAGAACTAAGAACACACTTTTTTCTGCAGAGTATTTTCCTAGAAAATGTGACAGAGAGCTCTTGTCAGAGTTAATAGCTGTCTGCTCCCCTGGTTGCATCCCCTGGGGATCCAAATTTCTGGGGCGTGCACCTCCAAGGAAGCAAAATGTCTCACTCCTCCTGAATTTCAATGAGTCTGATCTCTTAATCCCCTTAGAGTTTGAAAACCTCGCTAATATGCATCTATGCACAGCCAGACACACACCTAACACAGCAACACTGACAGTATTTTTTATTCTGTCAGAAAATATGCTTTGATCAAGGCTAATACAGAGCTCATGGAGCCAGGATGATTTTGATGAATATTTTCCATGGGAAAAGGGGCAGAATAGAGTTTCAGGAGAGCAATACATCCTGTCCCAAGAATTTCAGGAATCACAGTGTCATAGTGGAACCATCTCCCTCCCTATGTAGAGGAAACATTCCATTTCATAGATTTCTAGCAAGAACTATAAAACAAGAATGAAAAATAATCATGTGATCTGAACCTATTAGTTTCCCAGAGTGATCTGTCTGCTTGCTATTTAGTATGAACACAAATCTAGAAAGGTCCAAAATTTTCAGAACTGAAGTTCTGGGTTTGGGACACTGAAAACCAATATCTACTAGAGTTGTTAGACAATGTGAATTTTTATGAAATAAAAGTTTAAATATTGAAGGATGCTACAATAATGCAATGAATGTTTTTTCCAGACTTTACCCCCTCTGACCACAGCTTGGGTGTACTGGTACTGGTGCAGCACGGTTGTAACTGATGGTTTGTGCGTTGTGAAGCCCCTGGGCTGCCCTGAGCCATGGAGGCTTGTCTTCCCCCAGCAAAAACCCATTCACCAAACCTAAATCAGAACCTGCCAGCTCCTGCCCTCTTATCATTCTGAGCCTTCAAGAATTTTGGAAAAACCTGGGTCCCAATGTTTTTTTCTTTTCTTAGACCTTAACTCCATTTCAAGCCTAGGACTAGCGCAGTCTTCTTTAACCAAGCATGGCTGATGAGAAATGGGCTTCCACCAGTACTGAGAGGTGCCCTTTCTCTGTTTCCATATCCCTGAATATGGGAATTGTGGGTCCCACCAGGACAGTGGCTTTGAGCTCAAAGCCAAAGCCCAGCCTAAAATGTACGCCAGACTAGAACCAGCAACGGATGCCAACACTAAAATGGCATATAAAATGCCACAAGACCACAGTCCCTTGCTCTGTGTGGCATTACCACTACAAGCTCAGGGTTTCCTCTATTTGGGGGTGTGGAGGAGCCTGTTTATAGCCCCCATCTGGTCACTTGCATCCCAGCTGGCACTCACGGCCGTGCTGGCAGTGTGAGCAGAGAGGGCAAAGACTGAGCGGGCATAGAGATAAATTACTCTTTCTGCGCCGTGGGTGGCCCTTCCACCTCAGGGCAATCACATTAGAGCTGCCTACCTGGGGAATGCCTGCTTGGCATATAAATGTGAGGCTTTCACGAGTTGCATTTCAATCAGTTTTTGGATGCATACGTGCATTTGCAATTTAAAAATAGAGAGAAAAATAAAGTCAAAGAAATAACAGAGATTAAGTTATCTTCTGCTGTCCTACTTTGCTTTACATTAACTATGTACAGTCTTCAGATTTTATGCCTGCTTCCATTTGAGTTTAAACCCCCTCGGTTCCAGACTTTGGACAGTACTGATGAGCAATGAAGTTCATATTCATGTAACTACAGCTGAAGCTACTCTTTCCTATGCTTCCTCCAATTCTGGGTGCATATGACATTAAACGTTACCTCAGAGAGAAATAGTTGGCATTTTTTTTGTGTGTATTTTCTGTGTGTAAATAAATTCAACATAAAAAGCACTACAGACTTTAGACAAACCGCAGCATGTGCAGAAAGAGTCCACATTACACTGGCTTGCCCTCTCTGAATCACATGCTAAGAAGGGCATGTGGGAACTGCCCTCGATACCTGGAGGCATTCTGCACAGAGTGATCTACTCAGAATTGCTTGATGCAATAGCCATGAAGAAAGGGAGCCTCAGCCATTTTCAAGATCGTTCTCAAAACTCTCCATATTCTCACATTTTTGTGAGAGGGATGCTCTTATTTAGCTTTGAAAGCAAAGGAAGGGGAGCAGAATGGGCTTGTGACATACACACAGGTAAGGCAGATGCCCTAACAACCCCGAGTTTGACACAGCTGTAAGCACAGCTGGGCTGTTCCTTGCACGCCAAAGGGTCAGTTCACCAGCAAGTCCCTCAGCATGTGTGAGCGAGAATTGTCCAAGCTGTTCTCCAAACACGGTAACAGCAGCAGCATGTGCCAAGCTAAAGTAAATGTAACAAATGCACTTGTTGCTTGGGTGT